TAATCATGGATATGACAACATCCTACCAGAAATGCACCCAATCTTCTTGGCCTATGGTCCTGCCTTTAGAAAGAATACCACCAAAGAAGCCATGAGTCTCACAGATCTGTATCCCTTGTTGTGCCATCTGCTTGGTATCAGTTCATTGCCAAACAATGGGTCATTCAGCAATGTGGAAGATTTGCTTCTTACAGAAGTTCCAAGAGACCTGAATCCTAGATATTATGCACAGGAGTCCTATGCCTATTTTATAGGAGTTTTTCTTGGTAGCATTCTTGTTGTTGTTTTTCTTCTAGTTTTTATTAAACACATAACCCACAGCCACCTACCCAGCATGCAGGTACAACACACTGAAATTTCCCAGCCGTTACTACAAGGGTAATATTACTTTCCAATGGAGGCACTTTAATAAAAACAATGAAAAGTTATTCTAGGTATTTTGAGCTTAAAAGAAGTTTTCCTAGAAATTAGGTGAGTAGATCTGCAAAAATAAATACATGTGGTGCACTGGAGTAAATGTGTAACAGATGCATACAGGGAGAGCATGTTTCTGTTGCACCATATAACCACTTAATTTTTCAGGGGTTGAAAACCCCTCTAGATAACACTGGAAGGATATGTATGTAGATATTTAGTAACTTTAAACCCTTGGATACCTCATTTTAAGCTAATATTGGAAATAGAAATCATTTTAGATTCACTAAGCTCTTGGTCTTTATCTTCTGAATTTAAACAAATAATGGATTTAAACAAAAATCTATTTAGGTTAAGAAAAGAGTGTAAGGGATTCATAGTGGAAGGATGGGCAGATTAAATCGATACTATCCAACATGCTCTGATTTTGTGCATTCAATATAAATATCAGTAGAATAGTGTTTGTACAAGTTGCAAAGCCATGTATGTCTCTGAATTCTCTCTCTAAATTATAGCAACTAAAATACATACCTTGATATATTCCAATGTTATTACTGTAATAATCAGTCAGCATTAAATTTTATTTGAACTGCTATTTGGTTAAAATGTTTAAGACTTCAATAAACTAAAATATTCAATAGGGAAGTGAAGTAGGAAAAAAGATAACTAACAAGAACCTACATGGACCTGTATCATATCAGGAAAACTGAGCTAAATTAGCATCCTTTTGATATCTCATGGAAGTAATAGACAACAAAATAGACAGCAGGCCAAATCCCCTCCCTAGCTTAAGCAGCTGTGATTCCACTGATGCCAGTGGAGTTGAGCCCCTAATGGGCAGCAGTGAGTTTGACTGTCTTTTTAAATTATATCCTTGCAAGGTGGGGATATGTAGGACTTTCTTCGCAGCCATAGGGCAATCTGCATCATATTGTTGTTTGTTGCAGACAGAATCTGGAAAGTTTTCCACAGAAACTATATTGATGCAGTGGATACTGCTCAGGAGTAATGTGGCAACGAGACCCTCTCTCATTCAAGATCTATTGTAATTCTAAGTTTGTAAAGAATTATACTAGTTCTTATGTAAAAACAAATCTCTCTCTGACTTGTAAAGGGTGGCTTTTGCTTGAAAGTGTATCAGACAGGATAGTCTGAAATAATGAAGCAAGAAAATTGATATAATTAGCAGGAATTCTTCCTTGATGCAACTTGTGTAGCAACAAAATTTGCTTGTGAGCTGTAACCATAACTAATTAATTCCACTGCTGTAGCAGACATCTTTATAGCTGAAATGGGCCATTGTGCATTTTGGTCTTTAATTGTAGCAGGCAGTGTGCATTTCTAAATTGAGTTATATGACCCACAGAAGGCTGGTGTTTCCTGGGCTGTAGCTTATTGTCAAATTGGGGTGGGCAAGAATACTGAAACTGAGTTGGTAGTCACAGAACTCAGTTTCAAAACTCAGCGTTGTGTATAACTTAATCTGACTCATGTCTGTGAAATTCTGTTGTAATTGTCCTGGGGATCATGTGCTATTGCGCCACCTCCATCTTTGCTTAGGTGGTCAAGGAAAATCACCCTGTGGCCATAGTGCCTGTAATGTAAAGCTGCCTGTTGCTGGAGAAGCCCACATCCTGATTTCAGTGAGTCAGGTGATAACAAAAGTAGACTAGGCAGTAGACTTTCAGTCTTAGTTCATCAGACAATTCTTTTAAAACAGATGAAAATGGTGTTCACAGTAGTAGTTAAGACCTTGAAGCTCAGAGCAGATGAACCTAGATTAAAATCAGGCTACCAGTAAACTTTACTAACAGAAAGGTCAGGATCCACTGCAGTCTTTACTTTGGCAATCTTGTCCTCAGGAATTGGTGGGAAGTATTTTGGTTGGATGGTAAGGGGAGATGTTTTGATATATAAAATCTCTACCTTTTCTGATCTTAGTAACCTATATGCAATAATTCTTTCAGATCAATTGAATAAATGTATTCACATACAGAACTGAGAGCTACAGTCTGACAGCACTTCCTGTAGTGCGGAAGCCTAGATAATCTTCCCTTACTCTGTCCATTTCCAGTAGCTTCTTCACTCAAGCTCTGTCCCCTCTTCCCAATGACCTTAGTATTAAAATTTTCATGCAAGATAGACAATGTGATCTTTCTTTGCACAATTGAATAGTTATTCTTTCTCTCAACATGGTAGAGGTGTTAATGTGGCTTTTTAGCAAACACCATAGTGAGCAAGTAAATTATATCCTCAAGGGTGTAGTAAGCACTTGCAATTTTTTTTTTTAAATCAGGTTAAAAGTTGTATAATTCAATCTGTTAGGCAACTTACTAAGTTAGGGGAAAGTGTTCAGTACATCTGTCAACAGTAACATTTGTGCCTAGAATTCCCATACCTAAAACAGTTTAGTGAAGAGCAATGTGTTCTAAGAGAAAACTTTGTATTTGTGAGCCAATACCCCCAGGAAAAAGGGATTTTGCTAGTCACAAAACCTGTTTAAGTTGAAACATGCACTGTACTGTAAAAATAACTGACAGGTTTTGAAGGGGGGAGCTGTGTGTTCAGCCATTAGTTTGATTTTTATATCCCTACAAACTAAAAGCTGTCTTTGTTTTCATGTTTTGTTTTAGTGTAAATAAAATAAACTTTAATGTCTATAGTTTAGGAATAGTTGCAGGCCACCTATCTAATACTGGTTAAGTTTACAAATGCACAAGCCTAAACCTGTAAGCACAAGAAATGATACCACTAGAGAAATGTGATAGATGCTCCAGCCCATGCTCTTTGAAAGGGCACAGGGTGTGATGTGTGTGCCTCTCAAGTACTTTAAGATTGCATGTGACTGAGTTAGTAGAAGCTGGGGTTAAAATACTGTAACTGTGAGTTCAGGGAATGGGAAAGCTTGCACTGTTCAAAAAAAAAAAAAAAAAAAAAAAAACACCACTTATTAAAATGTGGCATACTTTGACTCTAGTCAAGAATGTTCTTTCCTATTTGTGCTTGTAAACTCATCATTTTATCACTGCTGGTAGTATAAGTCATAACTAAGATTGTTTAAAAAAAACCTCTGAAACTTGTAACAGTTTTATGAAAAGATTTAATAGGCATGTGTTTTAACTACTGTTGTAATTATTTCTAGTAAATAGTAAACAAACATGGGAGAGTTCTGGTTTCATAAATTGAATGTGAGCTAACCCAGGCTCTGTCATATCATGAAATTGTAAGGCCTCTCACACATTCATCTTTTTATTTTGATATATGCAACTTAACTGTCTTCATAAAAGGTATTTTCTGGGCTGAGTTAATTACTCCTATTCCTGTCTTTACTAGCTTAAGTATTAAACTACTTTGGAGAGAAGGTGGATGAGGTAATATCCCTTATTAGACCAACTTCTGCAAGTGAAAGAAGTTTCACATATGCCAAGGAAATCATTGTCTCAGTTGAAGCACCAGAAACCACCAATAGAATGACTGATTTAATTCTTCCTTTATTCTGCTTCATATAGGGTATCCCCAGCTCTACCCCTTCCCCTAATTCAAGTTTTTAGCATAATTCAGATGCATCAGATTTCCAATTCATACTCAAGTTTAGAGGTCATGATCATCTCAAATCCCATTGTGAAATATACTCTTCAATGCGTATTACAAAAGATGTGGCTTTATAGCATCTAGTGCTGGAAGAGAAACAAATTCCAGAAACAGGATGCCTGATGGAGAAGGTGCTACCACAGCCACCCCGCACTTGTGGCAAGGTAGCTCTACTGGTCTTATCTAAGGCATAGGGGCTGGGGGCAAAACTATTCTCTAGATAACCAGATCCCATAGCACTCAAGGGCAACTCTATCCAATCCTACTGTCCTCATATTGTGCCAAAAGAAGCTGACATTTTTAAAAATAGCATGGAGAACTTAGTTTGTCTAATGCTAGAAGATCTGCCAGTGCACTTAATGCAGTTTTTACCCAAAACCCATGTCTAAAACCAATTGAGGATTTAAGCAGTCTGAGGACTCAAATAGCCAGCTTATATCTGCTGCAACCTTCTGAAATATGGGCTATTCTACACAGGTTACTGGCTAAAAAAAGAAGCAGCTGCTTCTTTAAGGACAGTGGGGATGCTGCCTTCTCCAGCAGTAGGGATGCATTGATGGCTACTCAGTATCTGGGCTCTTCAAGCTCACACCGACCCTCACCAGCCTGAGCCCTTCCTGCTCCTGGCCCAGGCCCAGGCCAGTAGCTGATGTGTGCCTCCTCTCCCTGCACAGCCATTTGCTGTTCGGATGTTTCTGGATGCATTAGCCTCTTTTGGAGATAAAGATCATAGTCCGCACTAACTGGAAAATGCTATCATGTGCCATAACAGCAAAAGCTGTATCAGTTCCAAAGGGATGAACAACATGCCATGTTTTGTGCTTAGGAAAAAAAATAGTTTGACACTTTCTAAAATTTATTTTACATATGCAAAATGTTTTAACAGAAACCAAAAACATACAATCAAAATATAAATATTTCACCAAGTTAAGGCACTAGCCATTTAAAAATAGTCTGATCTTAAGCACATTATATACACCCACATATACATACACACAAAGGTGACTAATTCTAGATTCCCTTTATTTTCCATTCTTTCTACCCCTGGAAAACTGGATGCAGCTCCCTTTGGAGCTACCAATGCCACCTTGTGTATCAGCAAGGCACCGTTCAAGAGCAACGCTCAGCACTTTTGAGCTCTTTTTTCAAACCCTGATCAGCAGGCTGGGAGTGAAGTAGCATATAGCAAATCATACTGCATCACTAAAAAGGTTCAGTGGTTTTCAGAAAATACCATTAGTTTACAATAGAACTTTAAAATTGTGTTGTTAATAGGTTTAGATCCGAAAAGGTACCCTCCTCATAGGATACAATCCATTGGTTTTTCATATCCTTACCTAAGCACTAAACCAAGTTTTTCTTCATGTGTTATTACAATCATGTTTTAACCAAAGAAAGCTTTGAACCCTGAAGTGAGGGGTCCCCATTAAAAATTAAAAAAAAAAAAAAAAAAACCACAAAACCCAACTTTGGGATTATTAAGTGTATATGAAAGACTGCCTGTAGGTAAGTAGGGGTATATCTGAGAAATGTTTTCATATTCTTCTTTTTAATAGTACTTCAAGACCTCCACCTGCGAATCTCAAAACATTTCACAAACAAACTCACTATTAAAGTCATCTCTGCGAGGTAACGAAGTGTCAACCCAGTTCTATAGATGAGGAAACTGCGGTAGAGAATAGTCAACTGACTTGCACAAGGCCATGCAGACAGTCAGAAGTGGTTACAAGAACCTTGATATCCATAAACCCATTCCTGTACTTTAGATTACACCAAGTCCTAGTTAAACACTGAACATTGTACAACTTAACTTATAATAGTTGCAGGGGAGAACTGCCACTAGTGCTGAATTTCTATTGCTGGTTTATTTAGCTACAAGAAATTGGAATCCCTGTTTCCAAGAACAATCAATTACACCAGCCAGAGAACCAGTGGTCTTAAAGTCTAAGACCCAGGACAGATTTTTCCAACTGATACAGGAGTGCAAGAATTGTAAAGAGATCACTGCTATTAAATTTAATACAAAATGCAGCCAGTTTCATTTACAAATGTTAAAATTCAGACTCCTAGCCTAGTTAGTTTATAGTTGATATTTTATTTTACAAGTGTGTAAATACCCGAATGCAAAACTAACATCTTTGTCTTGTTAAATGCCTTTTCCAGTAGGAAACACAGAATCCTTTCAGTGTAGATTCTTTTTGTGAATCTTGTGCTATTGAATTGTTAGTCAAAATGCAGAGGCAAACAGTTCAACAGGTTTTTGTCTGTACATCTTAGGCAATTTTAAATGAGTACTGTTTAAAGTGCATCATAGAATGATCAGCAAACTTGCAGATTAAACATACTACTTACTTCCAGACCCTAATATTTATGTAGTAGTGAGGTTAGGACTTCCTACATCTGCTATCCAATTAAGGGATCATCATCCTCTTGTAGCTGAAGTCGGGAGAACGGACGTGGAGAGGACACTTTATTCTTCATGATTATTATAAGGCAGGTCAGAGTAGTTAACACTAGGAGGACACCAACAACTATTCCAATTGCTTCAGGGAGATTTATGCACCACTGGTCAACTAACAAGCACTTGGTGTTGCTGAAGGTTCCATTATTGGGCTGAGGTTTTAATCCGAGGATGTGACACATCATTGGGTAGATATCAACATTATTCATTGTGTTCTGCTTGTAGCCTTTGTGAAAAGCAGGACCGTGAGCAGCCAGGAACGGATGCATGCTTGGGAGAGCATTGTCATAGCCGTGGTCACCTACTAAAAAGGAGAAATGCAAAGTTAATAAATATAAAATTAATGTTGTAAACTAACAGAAACTAAGTTGCTTACAAACTGTGTCAGCTATGATATTAACTGTTGTCCATTTCTAAAAAAAAGGAACAATAAAGCAATGCAACACTTATACCAATGCCTGAAAGCCACAAGAATATTTTAATAGCAAAGTTTGCTACTTAAAAATTAACAGGGCACTTTGCTGAAGTTTCTTTGGATTAGAGCACAACCTCTATATTCCCCCCAGAAATGTGAATCCAGGCAAAAGATTTGGATTATGAAAGTGACGGTCATCACTGTCTATGATATGATAGGTTTGTAGCCAGATTTGTTCTTTTAAAAAAAGTGGTCAAGGTAGGTAATGTACTAATTCACAGTGATTCAGCGGAAGTTTTAACAGGCACTTGAACCTCTAGTTCACATACAGGACATGCAGCAATTTGTGGTTTTTTTGTTTTTTAAACCAGTCATTGCAGTAAAAAACTATTTAAGACCAATTATATTGTAGATCTAACTTTTAGAATTCTAGCAGTAGGGTACGGTTGTTGTTTTTTTGGTTAAGAATAAACAATCTTGTTTGTTTCTCTAGGGTAAACAAACTCCAGAGTATGACATTATTTAGAATGCAAACAAATAGCAACGAGCAACAACCAATCAACATAGAAACCAAACATCTTCCGTGTCCTGCTATGACAGCTGTACTTTACTGGGTCACTCATGTTGTTGGTTCATGGACTGAACTCTTCAGGACCAACAGCTGGCCTCTTTTGTGCACCTGGAACCCATCTCTAGTAGTCTGCCAGCTCAGAATTTGAAGAGTTTCAGGATGCAGAGTAGAAGCACTCTTCAATTTGACCTTTATCTGCTGATCACTCTAGCAGCAGGGAATAGTGGGTTTTTATAGCAACTATTCTAGAGACACTTTTGTATTTGCTTTAAACTTGTATCAGATGGCAACACAATGGTTACCGTTTGCATATTAAATACATTGTTTCTTTCCATGGTCAACAATTCAACAATCAACCTGTGGGACTGTGGACTAGGTGTCCGTGAAAGACTAACTGAAAACTGAACAGAATTCAGCTATAGATACACAGATTTCCAAAGAGGTCCACGCCTCCATTTGAAATTTCCAAAAGGGGTTCACAAATGAAAAAAAAGATTGAGAACCGCTGACCTAGGAAAAAAGTCTTTTTTGTAATATTCTTTTATGACCGACCATTCAAAAGACTAGATATATAGAAAGAGTCAGAAATAGCACTAACACTGAAAGCTATGGGATAGGTCAGCAAAACAGATCACAAAACATATGGGGTTTCTTTCTATTACACTGTATATGTATGGATATAAAAATCTTAGCTACTTATTGTGACTGGTCAGTTCTAAAAGTTTGCAGCACATAACCTTGGATAGATTCAGTCTCTGTACACACTAGAGTCCTCATCCAAGGTTTCTTCATGATCTGAGTAACTCAACCAATTACCCATCAGACAGGGCCTTTGCAAATATCCTGTATATATCCAATTCTTGGTGGCAGTTCGTCCAAAGTGCATTTTTGACAGTATCAATCAATCAATTCAGGATTTTGATATGGGATTTTGTAATTTACATGATCTCATGATCCAGTGAGTCTCTCCAGTAAGATTATTTTGTTTAGCAGTTTTGTAATGTCAGTGTTGGAATAAATCATAAATTACTCTTACCAATTACTTGCTTTCATTTAAGCTAAACTTCTATTTTGCTTCTATTGCTAGAAACTGGAATGGTGGCAGTGGTAGTATTAGTAGAAAAACAAAGCAACATTAGAAAAATTTGGGACTCTCCATTCACTACTCCATTAGGCTGCCAATTGTGCACTCAAAAGGTATACATGGTAAAACATTCATATCTACTGTAGTTAAGTGCACAGTTTTTGGCTATCTGGTGAGCCAG